TTCCCATTTGAAAAAAAAAAGTAGGGGTAGCTGGGAGTTAGGGGGTTGAAGAAAAATTAATTATTATATAACCGAAAGATGGGAAAAAATCAAAATCAGTTAACGTGTTTCGGCGTTTTAAAAAAAATTTACTCATTCAAATGATATGAATTTTATTCCGTACTTCTGGCCATCCCTGTAGATATATATATTTATCCTTTAATTGAGTTTACCTCCCACTGAAATCTTTAAATTATATAAATCTTCCTTTGCTTGTTTAGTAATAAAGTACATGAGTTTTGTTGTTTATATGTCAAATTTGACAGACGACTGAACGTTTCAGGCAAATTTTCGACCGACATCATCGGTTCCTGCGCCTTCGGCTTGGAATGCAACAGCTTCAAGGATGCAAATTCGCCCTTCAGGGAACACAGCCGGAGACTATTCAAGAGTTCCACCCGCCAAATTGTCGTATTTACTTTTGCCAATAGTTTTCCAAATATTGCCAGAAAGCTCGGAATAATCATATTTCCAAGAGAAGTTACTAGTTTCTTCAGGAAGGTGGTTGAAGAGACCATTACTTACAGACAGAAAAACAATCTCATCAGGAACGACTTCTTGCAGCTGCTCATCGGTATTATGGAGAATAATATAGCTGAGGAGGAAGGGAACAAAGGTGAGAATGGCACCATAACTATTTTCGTTCAAAATCGCAAAACTGGGTAAAAAATAATTATGAATTGTCAAAATATTTTAGGTGATGGGCGAACTTTGACTATGGACGAGGCTGCAGCTCAGTGTTTCGTCTTCTTCTTAGCCGGCTTCGAGACCAGTTCCACCACCATGACCTTCGCTCTCTACGAGTTGGCTCAGCATCAGGACATCCAAGACAGAGTCAGAGAAGAAATCAAGACGGTTCTGGCCAAACACGACAACAAGATGACTTACGACTCCCTGAGCGAACTGAAATATCTCAAGCAAGTCATTGACGGTTAGTACATTTCGTTGTTGCAACCGATTTGTTACCACAATTACCAAAACCCGCGAAATAAATATTCGCCAGTCTTGTATCGATTCTAGCGTAGTCANCAACAAAATACCATTTTTAATTCTCAACTTCAAGAGCTAATAACTCTACAGGGTGAGCCCGGAGGAAAAAATTTTATATGAACTTGTGACATTATTTTCTCATTATCTATCCATATCCGAGAGATTGCCCACCATTTCCGGGACACCCTATATATCCGGCCGCTGGGGAGTGAATATTGACTCACCCTGAAAAATGTTCCTTTGTTTGTTTAGTAATAAAGTATATGAGTTCTGTTGTTTATATGTCAAATTTGACAGACGATTGGACGTTTCAGGCAAATTTTCGACCGACATCATCGGTTCCTGTGCCTTCGGCTTGGAATGCAACAGCTTCAAGGATGCAAATTCGCCCTTCAGGGAACACAGCCGGAGACTATTCAAGAGTTCCACCCGCCAAATTGTCGTATTTACGTTTGCCAATAGTTTTCCAAATATTGCCAGAAAGCTCGGAATAATCATATTTCCAAGAGAAGTTACTAGTTTCTTCAGGAAGGTGGTTGAAGAGACCATTACTTACAGACAGAAAAACAATCTCATCAGGAACGACTTCTTGCAGCTGCTCATCGGTATTATGGAGAATAATATAGCTGAGGAGGAAGGGAACAAAGGTGATAATGGCACCATAACTATTTTCGTTCAAAACTGGGTAAAAAATTATTATGAATTGTCAAAATATTTTAGGTGATGGACGAACTTTGACTATGGACAAGGCTGCAGCTCAGTGTTTCGTCTTCTTCTTAGCCGGCTTCGAGACCAGTTCCACCACCATGACCTTCGCTCTCTACGAGTTGGCTCAGCATCAGGACATCCAAGACAGAGTCAGAGAAGAAATCAAGACGGTTCTGGCCAAACACGACAACAAGATGACTTACGACTCCCTGAGCGAACTGAAATATCTCAAGCAAGTCATTGACGGTTAGTACATTTCGTTGTTGCAACCGATTTGTTACCACAATTACCAAAACCCGCGAAATAAATATTCGCCAGTCTTGTATCGATTCTAGCTTAGTCAAAGTGCGTATAGCACAGTTACTGTAGCTGAAAATATAGTAATACCTCCGAATTTTTTATAACTGCATCGATTTTTCTCAAAATTTAGAATTAGGCTCATCTTACCCCTCACTTCAAAACTTATATATGCGCTAGGTGTGTTTTTTGTTCTTAATGGGTGAAAACCACCCCTTATTAGAAGAAAAAGAAAAAATACAAATTTAAGCATTTTATGTAATCAAATCTTTTTTATTTATTTTATTTATGCACGAGTAATTTCATGTTAAAAACCACCCCTTTGGATGAAAATAATATAAAAACTTTTTTTCAACTTGAAAGGTTTTAGTCATGCATTTTTATCGAATTAAAATTGATTTCTTCACTAAAAAATTTTTTTATCGATTGCAACTTTTCAACCCTTGAAAAATACCCCTTCTTTCAAAAATAAAATTAAAAAATATTATTGAAAGAGTAGAAACATTTTAAATTTGCATTCGTATTAAATAAACATTTATTCCCTTATTATTAAATAATTTTGAATTGATTGCAACCTTTCAACCCTTATTAATTAATAGTTTAAATAACTAGATAGATTTCACAGGGTCTAACGACACTTAGAGTGTACGATAATTCAATAAACAATGAAATCTAAATAAAAAAAAATAGATAAATTTGGAACGAATACACTGAAGATGAATTTTTCGAGACAAAACGTCTGAATCTGGTTCGCGCTGAGGCAGTACAGTATTGGGGGTCATGAGGGTTTGCAAAAAATGTAATAAAATTTAAAGGGTCGTGTTTAAAAAAATGAAGTTGATGATGGTCCTGGAGAGGAGAAACGTTACATATAAAAATTGATTATGTCATTCGATAGAGGGCAAAAAGTGGTCCTGAGAAAGTGTTCTTCTTTTTTCAATATTGCCTCAAACAAAGCTGAAATGAAACAAAAACGGATTTCCAAAATTTCTTTTTTTTTTTCAAATATTTCGAAAACTAATCATGTTAGCCTCGATTTTTTAGGGGCATAATGTCGGTGCCCTGATTACGCAACTTTTTCCTACATTTAAGCTAGTTTGTATCTCTTACCGTTTATGTATGGTATCCAGGGTGTTTTCAAAACAAGTAGAACAAATGGTAGCGGTGGATCTACAGCCAAAAAGAACACGTTTCATATAAAAATGATCTTAGTAAAATGTTCACCCCTTAGAAGATGCAGCCTCTCAAAGTTTTCAAAAAAATATGGAATAGCGGCTATAATTTGAAAACCAAAAAAGGTATACCTAATTGTCAAATTTTATACAAATTTTCTACTAATGCATGTGCAACTTCTCGACACTTTCGAAAATTTCTGCCCCTTGGAGGCGATTGAAATAAGCGTCTCCTTGGTTTGCTATAACTTTTTTTGTTTTAGAAAAATTTAATAATCAAAAATATGTAGCAGATAGCCTGGTTTATTTTAAAATTTTTACCTCTCTCACACTTACTTGCTTTAAAACTTTATTAACAAAAAGCTGTCGTGATAATTTCTTATTAAATTAAGATATGACATATTTTCTAGCTTTATATCTTACCCACGTCAATATACTTTTTGACGAATTCAAATTTCTATTAGCATTATTATTAACGATAGATGTATTATTCCAGTTTACTTACCTACTAAAAATTCAGTGAAAATTAAATAGGTATAAAAAATATAAAAATCTACCTATGTATTTGTTACCCAATTTTATTAAATGTGAAAGGTTTTTCCAGCAGTAAAGAAAAATAAAAATTGTCAAAATAACAATATACCTATTTCCCATATTCCCATAAATGTTTGAAAATGATTGTATTCTCATAATAATTATA